AATATTTTCAACTTCTTGTTAAAAACCACAAGTCCAATTGCTTTTTTATTACATATATAGGTACTACATGTGGACCTCTCTCAGATTTGTTCATTTTGTAATGATATCTTCAATTCTCTAATTTGGGTGAATATTTTTGTCTTTTTTGGTAAAAAGTGATATTTTCGACTTCTTGTTAAAAACCACAATCATTTATGGTGAAAAATGATATTTTTGAATTCTTGTTGAAAACAGCAAGTCCTATTGCATTGATACTATGCATATTGTTTATTTTCTAATGATATCTTCTGTTCTTTAATTGAAATGTGCATTGCTAACAGCAGAGCTATCTCAGCTGAGAGGCTGCTTGTTTGATTTGAAGAGGAAAATTTATGAGACAGCTATTGTATATTAGTGCATTTAATTTGCTGTGTAAATCTACAGACTTCAAAAGTGTGTATCAGATGCAAAAGATGAAAAAAACAAAAACATTGAAACATAATTATAACTGAATCTATGCCATGACAATTAATTAAATTGGTGATTATAATATATGTTCTTAATTTTCACTGCTGTCAATATTTCCTTTCAAATTTTGACTGTGGCACCCATGACTCTGGGATAATGGAAATGTATATATGTATATATAGGTTGCTATGTATTGCACTATGTTACTGTTGTTTTTGTTGATGGGCGTATTATTATTGTTGTTTGTTACAGGTTCTAAAGCCTCCTCTGTTGGTGATGGTTATGGACAAGCAGGTACCAATAGGTATTTGAAGAACTCAGGCAGAATCAGTCGCACAGGTTTGTACACACACACACAGCAAAGATTTCTTTTCACCTGTATGTGTGTTCTGTGAGTGTGAACTACTGTTTGGATCCATCAACCATGTCCATGTCAATGTATCCCAATATGACCTTACTTCTTTGGATATTTCGCAATACTAAATCTAGACTGTGTAACCAACCAATCACATCATAGCTTATATATTCTCATTGGTCTTTTTGTTACTTGATTGGCAAGTTTGTGTTGGTTGATTGGTTGATCAGTCATATATGTAACTTAGGTCTACCCATATCTTGTATTTAGGCTGGATTAGTTGTTTTCAAATATAGTACTATGAATATTTATTATTGGTGATGAAATAGATATTTTGATATTCAGAGCAAGTTGTTGTGTATCCAATGATGGCTATGTTAGGATATACCGGTAGTACTATTCTCAAAGAAGCATATATATACCACAGCATTCAGACTAATTCAGAAAAATCTATTGATATTTGTGAAAAGTCATTGTCATCATATTATTTGTATTGGCTGATAGTATTCCCTTAAATTTCATCAGTACACAAAAGTATATGCATTTATTTAGTGGGGAAAAACAAAAAGCCAAATTTTTAAAAAAATTTTGCAGATTGTTTTGTCCCATGAACACTGTGTGTACTTTTATGTGTTGGTATACAATTTATAATATAGGCCCTTATGCATGGTATAATACGTGACATTTTCAGAAAATCACATCTTGAACTTAGATCTCCCTTCATGCCACTTATTTTTTATCTGTAAATATTTGTTTCCTGATTGTAGATTAACCATAAACATACCAATATTACAGACTGTGCCTTTTTAATGGGATCATATCTGTGTATATATCTTGTTAGAACTTGCTTTCTAGACATACCAGTTTTTAGCTTTTGTTCTGAGATCTATTCAAATCTCCATACTGCCATATTTTGTAACATATATTGTTTATTTTCTCGTTAATGAACCTGTATCCATATGTACTTTTATGAGTGAGAAAGCTTGTTCATAAATCTGCATTTTCTTTTTGCACTGTTTTTATTTTTACTACGAGTTTCATTTCTATCCTCTTATTTTTCTTCCTAATCATGGGTTGGGTTTTATTTTTCTCTTGTGATTATCTCTATCTACAGGCAATTATAGTGTAGATTCAGACATAGTGCATAGTGAGATAATGAGAAGTGAGAGAGAGGCCAATCACTCCGCTGCAAGTACTAGTGATGCTTCTGTTAATGATGATGATGATGTTCAACAATCATTACCAAAACATGCATCACAATCTTCTGTTACCATGACCACTGTATCCAAGACTACCATGACAACCACAGACACTAATTCCCAAACAGGGTAAAACAATTTGTCTACATGCATGACTTTCTAACTATGTAAATAATTCATACCAACTTAGGGGAACTTTCTTGTATTAAGATGTCAAAATAAAAATTAACAAGGGCTCATTTAGCAAGTACTTTTGGCATTCAAATATTCATCCTCAACTGTTTCCTCTCAAATGAAGAAATAAGAATTATTCTGTAAGTTGGTATGAATTTTTCACATAGTTGCCAGCATGATGTAAGCTAAGGAAGCTAACTACAGTAAACCAACATGATTGGTAACTGCTTTCCTGGCTTACATAGATATTGTTTCTGCTATGATGGCTCACAGATCCTTTAAGTACCTGTACTTCCATTTACACGTACTGCCACAAAACACAAACCAATTTCTGGATATTTAGTTCATTTACCACGGCTAGCTCATCATCTAATATTAAGCCTATTGACACTCCAATGAGCAACAAAGTATCCTACTCTGCATTGCTTTAGCTATTTGGGAAAAGTAGTGAGACCCATCACAGTCAAGAAGTATCTATCACATGTACTGGAAGTCACAAACTCACTGTCTAATAAAACACCATATATGGACAACTGTTTTGCATATTACCATATTATAATGTATCATATCTTTGAAAAAAGAAATCTGTTCATAGCTTCCAATATCTGATTGGTCACACATGATGTATGCTAATGATATGCAAATGATTTGCAAATATGGTGCTTCATTAGCTCAAGTAATGCATGTCATGTTCATCATCACATTGGATGTAGGTTCACGGTGTCACCCTTGGTGCTTGTTTTACACAATGGTGTTCTTGTAGGTGGTGTGTTCTCTATCAATGTTTTAATTTTTTTCACAATCCCTGAACTCATCAGTATAAAACAGATTATATAATGACACTACTTTTATACATAAATGATTGAAATACAACTTGGTTATTGTAATTTTTCTTTTTTAAGGTTTGTTGTTGTGTTTTACTGTGTGTTTCAGTGTGGAGTGTGTTTTAAAGTGTTACACTGTGTATTTCATGATACAAAAATGATCACCTAATTCGATGCTTCTTCATTCAGGGCATTTTACTCTGCATTCTGTGCTAAAATGGTAGAGCTATTAGACTCTTTGCATGATGACCTATTCTTGATAAAATATGCCATACTCTAATTAGAGAGGGGGGCACTAACCTACCATGGTGCCTGTGTAGTCACAGGTGACGTATTTATTGTGAATGAAATACTATAAGAAGTTTGAAGTGATTTTTATATGGTATCGTTTATTGGTGTAAGTAATAATTTCATGCAACTAACACTGGGTTCTCTATATGTGGTCTTACTGGCTGGGTCATATCATTGTAATATTATACATGCTTGCGCAAACCGCTTTTTAGGGTATAAAGCCCTTCTTGTACTGCTCTTGTAATGCATGGTTGACTCCCAGTACTTCTGATAAAATAAAAATCTGCTATCGTTGTGACTATATTTTCTTCAGTGTGTACAATTATCACCTTTCTTGTTGATATTGTCTATTATGTTTTAGTCACAACATACACCTAGATACAATTACAAGTCACAACACACCACCTAGATATAATTACAAGTCACAACACTCACCTAGATATAATTACAAGTCACAACACACCACCTAGATACAATTACAAGTCACAACACACACCTAG